GGCTGTGATATCTGTGTCTTTAGGTCCAACATATGATTTCAGCAAAATATAATTAGCATGCCTGTTAGGGGCCAGTGGGTCTGTTCTTATTTTCCCCCCTACAAATGAGGCCACGGAACTGACATGGGTAAGTTCTTGTTCTTGAGCAATTAGTGTTTGGCCTACAAACATAATTTTTATTTAATAATCTTATTTGCTATTAAATTATTTGAAACAAATGCTGCTGCTGCTTCTTCTCTTTTTTTTCTGTTTCTAATTCACAAAAACAAAAAGTTATTCACATACTTCTTTTAAAAAATAATATTTCTCACATTGTTTTTAAGGAATAAAATGACAAAGTAGATGCAACAAAAGCAGTAGCAGCAGAACAAGAAGAAGCAGCAGCAAAAGAAAAGAAAGAAACACAGTTTCATATGATTTGACCATCATTAGGTATATTTATTTCAAAACAAATTATCAATGCCAAAATACAAATAAATCATCTCAAAAAAACAACTGCTTATCAACACATCAGGCAATGTTTCTTCATATGCAAGTATCCTACACGGGTATAAAGACAATTCTTTAGTGTAACATTTATAAACTTCAACCATTCATTGCTATTGTAAGTCAGCTAGCACCCACAGATTTTCTGGAATATCTATAACTCTTCCATTACCAGGCAACTTGCCCTTAAATTTAATGATTACTCCATACATAGGTTACATTTCATATTTCCTTATGTTATAAATTGAAAGACAGATTACATACATAGGACAAATACCATTATTGGAAAACACATTCTGATGCATGACCTCCACTCAGAAGAATACACTGACAAGCACAGCTGGAGTTATGCTTGTCACAGCTTTGGTGAATGTTTAATTTTCCTATTTTTCTATGAAAACTTATGGGACATCCTGTAGAATGTTATATTATGTGTGTATGTATTATATTATGCTACATTATATTATTTTATATATCAATTCATTGTATCTACTGTTCTGTTATTAATTCCCACTGTCCCACTGCTTAATCATTTTAAATCACCAGGACACCAATATGTTACTCAACAGTACATCAGAAGTGGGTCAGCAGTGGCAACTGCCCAGTGCTGAAAGAGTTTAGACAGATAAATTGTATACATGGTCAAGTATGAATGATAATAGCAATAAGGTCATCAAAATATACATGTCTAGAAATGTAAGCTAGTCTAAATTGTTTAATACTTTTTTTAAGATGGTATGAAATGTTGAGTTAAAAAGCAAACATATGTGAAATACTTCTAGGTGGTTGGGCAATATGAGATTTGTTGACAGATGGCAGAGTAAACATATGTGAAATACTTCTAGTTGACAGTGTAATATGGAAAATCTTAACATATGGCAAACTACAATGGTAAAATACTCCTAGCTGACATGGTAATACAAAAATGCTGGTAACCAACAAAGTAAATATTTGTGAAATACTTCTAGTTAACAGAGTAACATCATAAATGTTTTTAGTTTGGACAGCTGAATTATGAGAAAAACTATTAACTAACAGTGTAAGATGTGACATATTCAGTGTGTAAACTAATGTGAAATACTTCTAGTTGACAGGGTAATATCAGAAATGTTTATAGTTTAGAATTATAGTTTATAGTTTAGACAGCAGAATTATGAGTAAAATTATTAACTAACAGAGTAAGATGTGACATGTTTAATTTTAAAATTAATGTGAAATACTTCTAGTAAATAAAAAGATTGTAAAAATAATCATTTCTGAAGGTATGAGTAAAATATTGATAGTTAAACAGATAAGTGATCATGAAATGTTTAGGAGATGAAAACAGACAAAATGATGTGCAGAAAGATATTCTGTGATTAGAAGATGACATATGTTTACTTCAGTGTTGGGAAATGCATAAACTGACAAATGGAACTGTTGCAACCTTGAACTCAAACACAACAAGGTACATCATGCATAAGTGTTTCTTCTTCTGATTCTGTCTGTTTACTCTTTCTGTTATGTTTCGGTTGATACATAAGTTACAAAAAAGCATTCAGCAATGAATATGATTTTAAGGAGACATTCAGCAATGAATACGAATGAATCCAAATGCAAGAACTGTCATGTTTCTTTTTCTTCTGTCTTTCCTGTATCACCTGGTCTAAGCTTTCAGCCCAGTGCCTTATACTTCTGCTTGCAACCTCAAAATGGCAGATGACACAGTATTGTGGTTTACAGCAAACCCTAGATTAGTCATCTTTTATGATATGCTTGTAAAGGGCCGGTGGTTTTATTCCATCACCTCCCCCTTCCCTTAAAAAAAATGTGAATTTAGGTAATATTTAAGGCCATGAAAGACAACCAAGTCTGAAATGGACCAGACTTTGCAAAATATCTGTTTAGTAATACAGACTTCAGAAGTGAAAAGAAAAATTTCTTGATTTTGACATTTTATTTTTACAAATATAAAATGTAATCGAAGAAAATAAAGTCAAGTAAATGTTTCACATTTTTGCTCTCTAAGACTGTACACTGAAAGACTGACTGCAGTGATACAAACCTGCCTCTTTTTGGATCGGATACCAATCAAACAGGAGCAAATGTTCTTCAAGACATTGACAAGAGCCCTTCAATTTTCATAGTCTTCCAGCAGTGTTTAGTATGTCCTTCCTTTGTCAGACTCCCAAGCCACATTGTCATTCTTTTGTACAATTCCCTAGCCACAATGTCCTTCTTTTGTCCAACTCCCTAGTCACAATGTCCTTATTTTGTCAAACTCTCTAGTCACAATGTCTTTCTTTTGTCAGATAACCTAGTCACAATGTCCTTCTTTTGTCAAACTCTCTAGTCACAATGTCCTTCTTTTTTCAGATTACCTAGTCACAATGTCCTTCTTTTGTCAAACTCTCTAGTCACAATGTCTTTCTTTTGTCAGATAACCTAGTCACAATGTCCTTCTTTTGTCAAACTCTCTAGTCACAATGTCCTTCTTTTTTCAGATATCCTAGTCACAATGTCCTTCTTTTTTTCAGATTACCTAGTCACAATGTCCTTCTTTTTTCAGATTACCTAGTCACAATGTCCTTTTTATGTCAGACTCCCTAGTCACAAAGTCCTTTTTTCAGATTACCTAGTCACAATGTCTTTCTTTTGTCAGATTCCCTAGTCACAATGTCCTTCTTTTTTTTCAGATTACCTAGTCACAACGTCCTTCTTTTGTCAGACTCCCTAGTCACAATGTCCTTCTTTTGTTCAACATCTTACCATATTTTACCTTTACCGTTGTCTATTTACAAACATTTATGTACTAAGTTGTCTATATACAAACATTTATGTACTCAGCTTCTATATGAACGTCCCTGCATCTTCTTGTCTATTTACAATCATTCATGTGCTTAGCTGGCCGTATACAAACATTTCTGCATCTTCTTGTCTATATACAAACATTTCCGTATCTTCCCATCTATATACAAAAACTTCTATATCTAGTTGTCTATATACAAACATGTCTGTCTATATACAAAAATGTGTGTACCTTCTTGTCTATATACAAATATATATTTTTTTTTTTCCAATATGCACACGTTTCTATTTTTATACAAAAATGTCTGTATCTATTCATTTATATACAGTTACTTGTGTACCCAGATGTTTAAATACAAACATTTAGGTACCTACTAACTTGTTTATATGCAAACACTTAGAGGCACTCATTTTTTGTCTCTTGGTGTCTATATACAAAAAAGTGTCTTTATTTTTGCCATATTACTTGTTCAGAAATATATATATACATGCACTCCTACCATCCTCCTTACAACATGTCAAAGGTTCTCAAAACTTTACACAGAGACCACATCTGCAGAAGACGCTCAAATCTCTGTACACAGTAATACAATATTCAATAAACACTTTATAATATGTATATATGTATGTGTGTATGTATGTATGTATGTATGTATATATATATATATATATATATATATATATATATATATATATATATATATATATATATATATATATATATATATATATATATATAAAGTGTTTTTTGTATATTGTTTTACAGTGTACAGACATATATATGGTGTATATATGTATAGTGCATTTTCTAATTGCAAATTTTTAGCCAAGGCAGTTATCCTATGGCCTGACTTTTATTATTCTCGAGCGCAAGTGATTCTGAACTCCACTGTAGATATTTAGACATAAACCAAAACCAGAGAGAAGGAACATCATTAGAAAGTATAACTTTTGACAAAAAATGAAGGTAGATATGTAAGTAGATAGATAGGTACAACTGAACAAACTTTATTTTAAAGGACTAAGAATTAGGTCTTCAGGTTGATCTAATATTTGGTTGATTTAGTATTTGGTCCACTTAATATGTGGCCCTTTGAATATAGGTTGGTCGGTAGGCAGACAGGCAAACAGGTCTGTGTATGTTGGTTCATTAACTGTGTTGTCAGACAGATGTGTTAAATTATAAAAATAAATGGGGGGGGGGGGGGGGGATGTGTTCATGTCAAACTGTCTTTTCTTCACTAGCATGTGTTTAGTTCTTGCCCAAAGCTCCACATTGGTGATTTTATTAAACTATTTAATGCCCTCTATTCTGCACAGGCACCAGGTAATAAATGTTTATAGTTTGTTTAGTTCTTCTCCACAGACAGAAGAAGAAACTGAACTTAACTATCAGGTTCATTGCAATATTTTCTCTTGCTGAAAAAACAAATGACACCAATCTTGTCTAATATGAAGGAAACAAATGTGTCCTGTCTCCAGAATAAAGGCTGACTGTGGTACAGACACATATGTACATTTGTACATCCAACTCTGTTCTTGGGAATGTTTTTATGATGAGGCAGCAAGCAATCTTCCCCAGTGCTACTCTCTTACTTTGGTCTGAAAGACATAACAAGTATCTGTTCCTGAACTACATATCAAACTCTGGTACATCAAGGATTTTAGAATGCTGGCAAAAAATGAGTTGATCTTTCAGACAGTCACTTTCTCAGAGTTTGTTGCATTCAGTAAATTGTCCAGGACACCTGTTTCATCTTCAAGCCACCAGCAGATAGTAGTTTGCTTTCCAAGGAAATCCTGGCATTTTCTGTAAACCAAACAAAGAAACTCAATCAGAAAACATTAACCAAGTTAATATGTACTCTGATACCTTTTTCATTTAAGAAATGATCAAGTCTAAATATACTTATTAACTGCGGCCTGCTCAGAATAGAGTGAATTACATGGATATATCATCACTAATGTAGAGCTATGGGATACAACTAAACAAATCAAAGTGAATCAACTGGAGAGGAAATGACACTGGTGCAGGATAAGACACATGAGAACAACATAACTATAGTTTGTTCAACATCTCATGAACACACTTGCAAGCCATTTTCTCAAAAACAGCCTTTGTATGCAGCCTTAGAATATCCATGATGCAAAAAAAGTGGTATTCTTTAGTCCATAATGCTCAGGATGCTGAATACCAGCCAATTCCTTTGATATTTTCGAACCATTGTAAACAAGTGAACTTTTAGATTACAGTAACAATCTGAATTTCCTGTTGTATTTTTTGTCAGAGGTGTGTCTTCATAATACATTGATAGGTAAAGTCAATTTATTTGTTGTCATTTTTGTTCAGCTGAGTTGAGTCAAGAAAGACATCACAGCCCTTGGGGCATTTCCAAATGCGCTCCGTCCCCGTCTTCAGCAGCCAGCGCAGAGTTCCAATACTAATGGTACCAGGTGCAGTCTGATTATATTTGAATCTTGCCATTCCTGTGAGTGTAGTGTGCCAGCCAGGTCCTTTGGTCATACCCAGGAGTATCATTCTCTCCAGGCCAGGATAATTTTTTTTCTTCTGACTTCATTACGTGTTCCTAAAGGGCCTTGACCACATCTGCTTCATCATGTATCAACTCATCACCCAGTGGTGAAGATCCAGCCAATCTCTCTGCCTTGTTCAACTGTAAACATGTCCTCAATATGCAAGTTATTTCCTATAGTCACCATTAGACTCCACTGTGTATCTTAACTGCTGCACAGCAAATTGTATTATGGTTGACACATTTAAATATGAAGATGTATTTGTTGCAGTTGTAGATGTACCTAAGGAGCTGATGATACTGAACCACTCATCGAAAAAAATGGTTTTAATCATTATAATTCTGACGAACCCAAAGGTTGATAATTGTTATTGACTGAACAAATTGTAATTCATCTCTGTGCCAGTACTCATCTTCCTCTTGGAGATCATGTTCAACACACTTTTTCTAGAAATGAATGTCTATTTTTGAGAAGGACTCACGTGTCAGAACTTCAACAACACACATTTTAAATGTACTGTTCTTTTCGGCAACTTATCTTTGACTTTAACACAAATAAGCTTTATCAGGTTGAGGTGTGAATGATATGCAGGGAGTCACACAGAAGTGTGGCCGTATTCATTATTGATTTTGTTAATGTGATACATCTTTTTCTTTTTTGTTTTAAAATAGGTGTCATCAAAGTTGACTTTTTCCTTAGCAAGCCATGTTCAAATTTGATCTTTTGTATTTGATGTCACTGGTACTTCATCTTCCTCTGATATGGCATTGTAATAGGTGGTGTCATAACCCTGTAAGAAGGGTGTGGGACAGAGTAAAAACGATAGGACTTGTAACTTCATGTTTGTGTTTGACTGACCAAAAAGAGCACCAGTGGTCAGCCAGCTGAATTGATGATATGGGGAAAATCCATTATAACTTGAACACCGGTACTAACAAGTTTTACCCGAAGTTGAACAGGAGGGTGGAGGGGTGGGGGGTGGGGTGGGGGGGGGGGGGGGGTGGAGTGTTGGAGATGGACGTGTGGGGCTGAAGACATATAGAGACGTGATAGATTGTATTGTGTTAGGAGTTGAAAGATAGGGACTGTTTGCGTTGTCGTCATATGTGTTGTTTAGCTGTTGGTATTCTCGTGTGCTTATAGTATGCTAAGAAAGTTGTGTTGGTGTTGTGTCGTGCATAAGTAGTTGTTCTTGTCTATGGGTTGTTAGAGTTCAGCTGCGTTTTGTGCTGGCGTTGACCCTGCCCGATAATACTTGAACCACTCACCCTGCGTGTGCCACTGAATCTCGCATGGCGAGGTCCGCAGCCTAGTTAGCGCTGTACGACACGAAGTGGAATCGAGTCCTCTGGTACATCCATGGGAACGGCTCGGGGTGGATAAGTAAATATAAATGCTGCCACTGCTAAAGTTTCGGATAGGGACTGTCCATAACTGTTGAGGTTGCTTTAGGTTTAAAGTCTCTTTGTGCATTAAAGATTATGTGTACTCAGTAGGTGTGTGTTTTAAGTGTGTTCTGGTATAGTGTGTCTGTCAGGGGGCCGTACAGCGAGCCGTAGTTAGGTAGTATAGATACAAGGTCTTTGACAGGTGGCATTATCCATTATGTGAGGCGGACCCAATTTCCTGCATTTTTTCATCCACCTTTGATAAACAACCATGATCAACATCTTGTTTGGGCGACAGGTCACTAAGAGGGCGACCTGGCACGAGAAAATCATGAAATCGCATAGTTTTTGTGTGTGTGACCCACTGTTAAACCAGTCATAGTGTGCATTACTTCCTGAAACTAATGAAAGTAAACCTTCCAAAAGATAACCAAGACAGCTTTTTGATAAACATATATACCATAAAGAGGAAAAAAAAACTACATATGATATTCTTCTTTAGTGAAAAAATTTTTTTTTAACATCACTGATAGTTTTCACAGTTTTTTGAAAAAATGGCTTGCAAGTGTGTTCATGAGTTGTTCAACGAACTATAGAATGCCTTTACACTGGAACGCACAGTCATAGTCATAACAGACAGAGAAAAGAACTAGAGAGTGAAGGTAAAAAGATGGAGAGGACACAGGGAAAGCTGCATGCAGCAGTAAAAGATAGGATGACCTGGTGTGTGAACTGGTTGAGGGTCTATGTTCTGTTGAAGAATAAAGAGCAGAACAATGATCAGTTACCCGAACTATGATCAATTACCTGAATAATGATCAAATACAGGAAAACCCCAATCAGTCACCTTTTTATGTCACGCTTGTAAGGGGGTCGGGGGTCTACAGCGAAACCCCAATCAGTCACCTTTTATGTCACGCTTGTTAGGGGCTAGGGGGTCTACAGCAAAACCCCAATCAGTCACCTTTTATGTCACGCTTGTTAGGGGCTAGGGGGTCTACAGCAAAACCCCAATAAGTCACCTTTTATGTCATGCTTGTTAGGGGCTAGGGGGTCTACAGCAAAACCCCAAATTAGTCACCTTCTATGTCACACTTGTTAGAGGCTAGGGGGTCTACAGCAAAACCCCAATCAAACACCTTTTATGTCACGCTTGTTAGGGGCTAGGGGGTCTACAGCAAAACCCCAATCAGTCACCTTTTATGTCACGCTTGTTAGGGGCTAGGGGGTCTACTGCAAAACCCCAATCAGTCACCTTTTATGTCACGCTTGTTAGGGGCTAGGGGGTCTACAGCAAAACCCCAATCAGTCCCCTTTTATGTCACGGTTGTTAGGGGCTAGGGGGTCTACAGCAAAATCCCAATCAGTCACCTTTTATGTCACGCTTGTTAGGGGCTATGGGGTCTACAGCAAAACCCCAATCAGTCCCCTTTTTATGTCACGCTTGTTAGGGGCTAGGGGGTCTACAGCAAAATCCCAATCAGTCACCTTTTATGTCACGCTTGTTAGGGGCTAGGGGGTCTACAGCAAAATCCCAATCAGTCACCTTTTATGTCACGCTTGTTAGGGGCTAGGGGGTCTATAGCAAAACCCCAATCAGTCACCTTTTATGTCACGCTTTTTAGGGGCTAGGGGGTCTATTCTTTTTTCTTCCCAAAATTGGCCCAAAAAATCCCACACTTGAAAACCAGAAACGGAGGCAGAGGAATATGGAGCTTGCTTATATTCTGGAGTAACTTCACAACTGCAACCTCCTGATGTCTCAATGAATAAACCTTTCAAAGTGTACAAAAAACAGGAATGGAATAATAAGTTACAAATGCAAATTAAAGGCAAAGAGAGATTTAAACAACTACGATCTAACAAGTCTGTCCCAGGACTGGAAAAAAAAAATGACCTAAAGTTAATGACACTATTGTTAACTCTTTTGGTCACAAGAAATGAATCATAAGTTCATAGGTTCCTACACAGAAGCCCAGTAAACACTAAATGTCAGATTGTATGTTTCTCTTTACTACCGCATGAGCCTCTGATGCTAAACCCCCTAGGACTGAAAGAGTTAAAGCATTCAAGAAGACCGGCATAAGTAATGTTCAGGATGAAAGAGAAGACCATTTTATATATGAAGCAGAGAAGAACAATAATGACAATGAACAGAATAGAGAGAGAAAAGAAGGGAAAAGTTCAGGCAAAGCTAAACTTCAGAACAGGGAAAAAAACTTCAGAACAGAGACAAAAACTTCAGAACACAGATTAATTTTAAAGTTTCAGAGCACAAAGCACAACTTCAGAGCACAGAACTAAAATTTCAGAGCACTGAATAAAAACCTTAAGGGCACTACATTTACCAAAAAAAACTTTAAAAAAAAACCCCATCATATCTTCCCAGAACTGACTGAACTCTTACAGCACAGTCCAAAACTGCACAGAAGAGGCCAAAACTTCACAGAAGCGACCTAAACGTCAAAGACCTAAACTTGATCTACACTTTATGAAAGAGACCTGAACTTTATAGAAAATACCTATACTTCAGAGGACAGGCCTAAACTTGACAGACAAGACCTAAATATTAAAGAAGAGACCAACACTAAACAGAAGAGACCTAAACATCAAAGACAGGATTAAACATTCAAAGAAGAGACTAAAATTCCACAGACAAGACCAACATTAAACAGAAGAGACCAAACCTTCAGGGACAAGATTATTAATATTTTGTAGAAGAGACTAGAACTTCACATAAAAAATCTTAACTTCTCAGAAGAGAGATAAGCTCCACCAAAGAGACACAGATTTCAAAGAAGGGACCAAAACTCCAGAGAAAAGACCAAAACTTTACAGATGAGATAGATTCACACAAGAGACCTAAACTATATAGCACAATGAAACCCTTAAAAAAAAACAGACCTACATTTCATTAAAAAAAGACCTAAACTTCACAGAAAAACTGAAACTTTAAACTTCAAAGAAGAGACCTAAACTTCGTAGAAGACATCTAAACTTCAAAGAAGAAACCTAAACTTCACAGAAGACACCTTAGCTTTAAAGAATAAACCTAAACTTCATAGAAGACACCTTAACTTTAAAGAAGAAACCTAAACTTCACAGAACTTAAAAGAAGAAACCAAAATTCAGCACATAGCAAAATCTAAGACCACAATTCAAAACTTCATTTTACAAACTTTAAAACTGTTCTTACTTTATTTCTGTACCACTAAAGAAAAGACAAGTGAGAAGAGTGTTACAATTACCTGTAATACTTGGGCATCCAGCAAATAGAAGTATTTTCATCAGTGGACATGTAGAGATCAGAATTTCAACAGCATCATCTGTCAGTTTTCTACATCCGCTTATATCTACTTCCTGTTCAAAAAATGTTAATCAGTTTAAAACTGGAATTTAGGTGCTGGATAGTACGTGCATATATGGGTGAATATGATTATATGTGTGGGCATGTCTGATAATAGGTATATTTGCATTAATATGTGTGTGGGTGTGTGCATGCGCGTACATTTTCTACAACCGCTTATGTGGGTGTGTGCATGCGCGTATGTTTTCTACAACCGCTTATATCTACTTCCTGTTTAAAAAATGTTTATCAGTTGAAAACTGGAATTTAGGTGCTGGATAGCTGATTAGGTGTCTTGTGTGAGAGTATGTGCATGTGCGGGTGTATGTGATTATATGTGTGGGCATGTCTGATAATAGATATATTTGTGTGCGTATGTGTGTGGGTGTGTGTGATATAAATTCATGTATGGCTGAATTTCCTAACCATATGAACTGGATACAAAGAGACCATAGACCGCAATTCTGGTGTTCATGTGAGACTGTGACTACCTATACTTATTGGCCTAGCCCGCAATGCTGTTGCCCTGATTTATCAAGGCAGATATGGTGGAACTTAAGAGAGTGATACAAAATAGACAGCTGTGTAACGGACCAGCCCAAGATAATAGCAGTTTCCTAATTATGACATGGGATACTTTCTTGTTAGCGTTAACTGAGTGTGAACTCCAGTTGGCAAGTTCTGTTTGTTCATCCAATTCTGGACTTTGGTCTTGTTCCAGAACTTGAGTTTTGTATGCACATCCCTTTTCCTGATCTGGCTTATTTGTGTGCAGACTGTTGGTTCCTTGCCAAAAGGTAGAAGGACTCTAACTTCAAAGGAATCAACCCAACATAGTCATCATCTACTACATGCGTGTAGGGCACAGCAGAGCTGTACTTATTCCCCCTCCCCCCCCCCCTCACAATAAGACCCCAGAACCTGCACTTGCTATATGGGGTTCAATTCAGCTGAAGGTGATTGTGCAAAGCAAGAGAAAGGCAAACAGATAAATAATTAAATGGCTCAGCCACATGGATGGGTCAAGACAAGAACACTGACCTGATCTGTGATTATGCTGATGGTGCGACGTTGGGGAAATATGGCAGCCTATGCTTAATGACATGGCACATGATAATAATGATTTGGCAGCAGAATGTTCCACTTTCATTTTGACAATGGTATGAGCAGTAATCATTTAGAAAGTAATGGCAAATTACTGAAAATAATACTGCCCAGTAAAACCACAGACAGCCAACAAACGCGACACTGGTTTTCAATGTTCTCTATACGATTTTCAACTAATGTTTTAAATTTTAATTTTTTTGCAAACGCAACTTTGTGCTACAACCTGGCAGCAAAAAAAAAAAAAAAATTAAATTATCCATCAGTCCATAGTCTAGTGCAGAATTTTGTTCCTGAGCTTTTTTCATATTCTCAGCAAATTCTGTGGTCACATTTTCTTTCTCAGTTCTGCACATAAGATAACTATTCCTTTTTTTTTTTTTACTTCATCTTTACCTCTTTAGGGGTTCTGCTTCTTACTTTTCTGGCTGCCTCAACTAGACACACTATACTGCTGAAGAGTTTCCATGATGTTATCATTCCATATTGTTCTTGGTCAACCTCATGTTCTACATTCCTCTTGTATCTTAGTGTACACCTTGTATGGTCCAAATATTCTACCCAGTGGAAACAAATGAAAAGGATGTACTGTGAAAACAATGAACATGGACTTGTTGTTATAATGAATAGTTAATGAGTTGAGTTGAGCTAATCTACACATGGCTTCTGGGTCCTACTGAACCCACTGCTTTCCAACAACAAGCAAGTTTTCTTCTTCTTCACATTCACCAGCTGTAAACCCTTGGCTCTTCGTCCACTTCTGGAGTCTAGCCCTGTTCCATAAACTGCACATCTGTTTTACAGGTCTGACTCATCCACATGCAGACTGCTGATTCATTGTTTCTCAGGCAGATGTACTCTGACTTCGAAGGAAGCTACAAATTAGTCAACATGCTTGTCGGGGAGGTAGTTAGTCTATTCTTGTTTTCCCTACAATGGGATGCTGGAACCCACACGGGGAAAGCAAGTAATAAAAGTTGTTTAATTAGGGATGTTTTCTTCGAAGTCAGTGTGCATATGCCTGAGAAGTGAGAAACCAATAGTCTGCATACAAATAAGCCAGATCTGTAAAAAAGAGGTGCAGGCAAAACTCAGGTTCTGAAACAAGACTAAAGCCCAGAAGTGGACAAACAACACAAACTTCTGATCGGAGCTTGCAGCTGGTGAATGCGAAGGAGGAGGAGTTTAGCCAAGAACAGCATTAAAAAATGTTGGACATTCCCACAAGCACTCCATCCCTATCTTCATCAGCCACTGCAGAGTTCCAGTTCTAATAGTGAAAGTAACAGTCTATTGTAATGTCCATCTTGCCTTTCTTCTTCAAGTCATTTATACATCTTTTTGTTACTATAAAGAGTAAGTACTTACTGTCAACACCTGAGAGCAGAGACCATGGCAGAAGCTGTCTATCCCATTATCTGTAACCTAGTAGATGTGAAATTGGTAATGTTGAAAGTTGTGGACAAACATGTTAAAATGAAAACAAAGATGTTAGTCAAAGGATAACTGGAAGCTGTGGTGGAGCAGTGGCTAGTCATTTGCCCGGCACCCTGAAGATTCTGAGTTTGAAACCCACATCGAGACAGATTTTTATAACTTATGTAGAGCTCCTAAATTGAACCAGCCTCAAACAGGTACCAGAAAATATCTATGAAAGTAAATGGAACTAGCATCATGATGACCACATCACTCACTGAATGCTGACTGCTGTAAATTAACATACATGGTCCGGAACCTATTACCAATGGAAATCAACACAAAAATTACACAACCAAAGCTAAGAAAAAGCAACCAACACTAGGTGAATGTTGAAATAAGATTCAACATCATAGCACTCAGGACACTCCTAAAGCGAAGAGTTCCAATTCTAATGGCACTAGTAACTGTCTGATGTATATCCGTCTCAACTTTTCCTTGAGTGTTCAGCGTCAACCAGATCCCCTGGTAACTCCTTGCAGCGTCATTATCCTCAAACTTTAATGACCTTTACGTGCCTCCGCACTGTTCACTTGCTCTTAAAGACCTCTCATAATGTCTAACTTGTCATACATCAGTTCATCACCAAGTGGTACAGAACTGGCCGACAACCAACACTAGGTGAGAAAGAACCAACACAAAGAGAAAGCTACTAACACTTTGAGAGAGAGAGAAGCAACATCAAGAGAGAGAGAGACAGAACCAACACTAAGACAGATGGAGAAAAAACATTGAGACACACAGAGAGAGAGAGAGAGAGAGAGAGAGAGAGAGAGAGAGAGAGAGAGAGAGAGAGAGAGAGAACCAACAATAAGAAAGAGAGACAGAGAGATCCAAGACTCAGAGAAAGAAATCAGTAACCAACACTAACAAACACCAAAAGCACACTAACAAAAGAAACAGCAACCAATACACACACAAAACAGCAGACTACATAAAGAAACAGCAGACAACAGATACTGCCCTCACCTGTGTAGCACTAATATTTAAAGACTTCAGGTACTTTGAGTGGCACCCCAGAGCAATCAGCGTGGCATCAGTCAGCAGGACACACCCACCAACATTAAGCTCTCGCAGCATTGGGCACCCCTTGGAGATGGCAATGATCCCCTCATCTGTCACATTAACATTCCGTCGCAGGTAGACAATTTGCAAGTGGGGACATGACTTGGATAAACTAACGATACCTGAAATACAAGTGACACAAAAAGGTTTAAGGTGACTCCAGATATTTTTGTAAATAATCTTTTCTGTCTTTTTTTGCGTTCGGCTTTAAGAAGGGTAATTAGCACACTGTGTTGTGGTTTGCACCTAGGCTGTGATATTTAAGCCTTTTGACCCAACACATCTGGTTTGAGTAAACTACTACAAAATCAGCTTTCATGGTATGCTTATTGGTTGGGGATTTGGGGGGGGGGGGGTGGAGTGGGGAAGGGGGGGGGGGGGTCAAGAACTGTGAAAAATACAAGATAAGACATGATAAGACAGCCCAGTGGAGGAAAAAGGCATGAACAAATACAAGCAAATGTTTCGCTAAAGTCTTCTTTATCAACGGTGTCACAAACTGAACAACAGAGCATCTAAACAACTGAAGTCAACATGAGACCAAGAAATACATAATGGGTAAATACATAATTGGTTGATAAATGTTATGTATTCCCCTTGTGGGCTGCAGGGCTGCCTTTTGAGGGGAAAACAGAACAGACTCCCTGCCTAATTAACAAGCATGTGGTAAAGAAAGTAACTATTTAAGAGTTGACATTATACATGTCGGGTCGAAAGGCACAGATACAGCAAACCACTATGGAATTGTCCAAATGCTCTTTTAACAGCAAACAGAAGAAGAAGAAGAAAAAAAGAAGAAAGAACAGAAAGAAAAAGAAGAAGAAGAACAGGAGGAAGACGAAAAATAAAGAAGAGGAAGATGAAGAAGAAGAAGAAAAAAAGAAGTGATGGAAGAAGAGAAACAAGGTACTTATATCTCACAGAGTACACAAGGTAATTATACAGCACATTAGGTATTTATATCTCACATAACACACTGGGTACTTATATCACATAAAGTACACTAGGTAATCATATCACACACAACACATTAGGAATATATACCTCACACAATGCACATATACCCCAGACAACCCACTAGGCACATATATCCACAACACACAAGGAACTTATACCACACACAATGCACAAATACCTCAGACAACACACTAGGCACATATATCCCAGACAACACACTAGGCACATATTTCCCAGACAACCCACTAGGCACATATATCCCAGACAACACACTAGGCACATATCCCAGACAACCCACTAGGCACATATATCCCAGACAACCCACTAGGCAAATATATCCCAGACAACCCACTAGGCACATATATCCCAGACAACCCACTAGGCACATATATCCCAGACAACCCACTAGGCACATATATCCCAGACAACTCACTAGGCACATATATCCCAGACAACCCCCTAGGCACATATATCCCAGACAACCCCCTAGGCACATATATCCCAGACAACCCCCTAGGCACATATATCCCAGACAACTCCCTAGGCACATATATCCCAGACAACCCACTAGGCACATATATCCCAGACAACCCACTAGGCACATATATCCCAGACAACACACTAGGCACATATATCCCAGACAACCCACTAGGCACATATATCCCAGACAACCCACTAGGTACATATATCCCAGACAACCCACTATGCACATATATCCCAGACAACCCACTAGGCACATATATCCCAGACAACCCACTAGGCAAATATATCCCAGACAACCCACTACGCACATATATCCCAGACAACCCACTAGGCACATATATCCCAGACAACCCACTAGGCACATATATCTCAGACAACCCCCTAGGCACATATATCCCAAACAACCCCCTAGGCACATATATCCCAGACAACCCCCTAGGCACATATATCCCAGACAACTCCCTAGGCACATATATCCCAGACAACCCACTAGGCACATATATCCCAGACAACCCACTAGGCACATATATCCCAGACAACCCACTAGGCACATATATCCCAGACAACACACTAGGCACATATATCCCAGACAACCCACTAGGCACATATATCCCAGACAACCCACTAGGCACATATATCCCAGACAACCCACTAGGCACATATATCCCAGACAACCCACTAGGCACATATATCCCAGACAACCCACTACGCACATATATCCCAGACAACCCACTAGGCACATATATCCCAGACAACCCACTAGGCACATATATCTCAGACAACCCCCTAGGCACATATATCCCAAACAACCCCCTAGGCACATATATCCCAGACAACCCCCTAGGCACATATATCCCAGACAACCCCCTAGGCACATATATCCCAGACAACCCCCTAGGCACATATATCCCAGACAACCCACTAGGCACATATATCCCAGACAACCCACTAGGCACATATATCCCAGACAACCCACTAGGCACATATATCCCAGACAACCCACTAGGCACATATATCCCAGACAACCCACTAGGTACATATATCCCAGACAACCCACTAGGTACATATATCCCAGACAACCCACTAGGCAAATATATCCCAGACAACCCACTACGCACATATATCCCAGACAACCCACTAGGCACATATATCCCAGACAACCCACTAGGCACATATATCTCAGACAACCCACTAGGCACATATATCCCAGACAACCCACTAGGCACATATATCCCAGACAACCCACTAGGCACATATATCCCAGACAACAGACTAGGCAAATATATCCCAGACAACCCACTAGGCACATATATCCCAGACAACCCACTAGGCACATAGATCTCAGACAACACACAAGGCACATATATCCCAGACAACACACTAGGCACATATACCCCAGACAACCCACTAGGCACATATATCCCAAATAACACACTAGGCACATATACCCCAGACAACCCACTAGGCACATATATCCGAGACAACCCACTAGGCACATATATCCCAGACAACCCATACCCCCACACAACATACCAGCAGCTGAAGTAACTACCTGCTGATGTAATTGATTCATTGGGCTCTTTAAACGAATTGAGGTCAATCTTGACGAGATGCTTGAGCTGTGATAACTTGAAAAGACACTGGTCTGACACCCTTGAGATGCTGAGGTCCAGGCACTGTAGGCGCGAGTGCAAAACCTGCCAGTTTGGGACATTCAGAATTGATGAAATTAGGGTTCAAAATAATCAAATACAAGTGCTTATTCTCATTCTCCATTAAGAGGGCATTTGGCAGGCTGTGCTGTAATTTACAGTTAGGCTGTAATTAGTTAGTTAGTTAGTTATTCCTCTTGTGCCAAAGATGGCGCATAGGGCAGAGGTCATAGCTTTCCACGTCTGTCGGTTCTTTGCCACTTGATGTAGGTCTTGAGTGCGACTGAGACCTATGGTTGAGCTCTCCCTTGTGATGGTTCTACGGAGAGTTTCTTTTGGTCTTCCCTGTTTTCTTTTACCCTCTGGTGACCATATGAAGGCTTGGTGGGGAAGTCTCTGTATGTCCAGGCTGTAATACCTGCACTTATTGACCCCACATATTCAATTTTAGCGGTATGTCCTTTGTATCAATGACATATTCATTCAACTTTTCTAGATTCTAGACACTTTTCACCCCTAAGTAACACTGGCTTCCTCTAGCACAGTTTGAGAGAAGTTATTTGGAAGCTGCAATGATGTGGTTTTCTTGAAAAATCATGAGAACACCATGGACATAAATCTTCGGCTCTCCTTCAAATAACGGTCGCTAGCTGGAAGGCGACGGTCGCTTAGTCAGAGTTCACTCCCTTGGCTGCAGTGCAAATACGGAGTGGACAAGTCATGAATCAAAAACAAGAAAATGTTCACATATAGCGGCCATTATTATGGGTAAGTACTCGACGCTACATGTGTTACCCTAACCCAAACCCTAAGCCTATCCTAACCCTAAACAACCGTAGCATTGACAGGTAAGTGTCATTTGTTTCGTTCCCGCTTTACCACTCCGTATTTGCACTGCAGCCAAGGGAGTGAGCTCCGACTAAGCGACCGTCGCCTTCCAGCTAGCGACCGTTATTTAAAGGAGAGCCAAATCTTCTTAGTGTTCACCGGCAATAAACTCCAGTGGAAAGTTTTGGTTGTTTATCAATTTTGTTCTTGCTTCAGAACCTAAGTTTACTCCAGTGGAAAGTTTTGGTTGTTTATCAATTTTGTTCTTGCTTCAGAACCTAAGTTTTGTGTGCATATCTAAATTGTGCATGCATATCTGTTTTACAGGCCAATGTCTGGATAATGAACTACTGCAGCCACTGAATGTTACATTTAATTTTACTGTAAAGAAATTACCAGTGTGACAAGAGTGGCCAGGTTTTTCTGAAACAAGCAACATTTACCTTGTCAATGTTGTCATCTGTAATTAAGCCTCTGGTGCTCATTAACCGCAGTACTGCCTGCTTGATGTTTGCGGGCGTCTCCCACAGACTCTCCTCAAAGCTGTCCAAGTGGTAGATAACCACCATTGTTGAGCTGAGCAAAAAGTGGAAGATCATTGTAACATAACCTTGAAGGTGAAATATATTACATAAAATGATGATAACAATTAATTAAAACTACACTTAAAATATATTAAACAATCTATATTCCTGGATTCAGTTATATTTAATACATAATGTAGGTAATAAGCAGTCACCAATTGGAAAGAGAGGGCCTATCATGGAGATGAATGGAGGTGAATGATACCTCCAGAAAAGAACCTGAAATCTGAAAAAGTCGAAGAAGAAGGCAATATCTAATAACCAAAAGCAAGTGTTAAGTATAAATATCCAAAATCATAATAGAAAAAAAATAAGGCAAACTATGTATCCCAATTATAACCCACATGGGCTCAACAGGATATCATTGTTTAAATTACTACTACTATCCTTTATAGTCAGAGTGCATCTGCCTGAGAGGCAAGGAACCATAGTTTCAAAGAAGCAAGCTCTATAAAATGAATGAGCAAATCTCAAGTTCTGAAACAAGACTAAAGTTCACAGATGGATAAACAACCACAATTTCCGCCAAAGTTTAGTCGGTGAATGCCAAGAAGAAGATAATTTCAAGCGGTCTCTGGCCAAATTACCTGCAGCTGAAATCAAACCAGGTATTTCAGCACTAACAGCTTATTTGCAATGAAAAAGCCACAGATGAAATAGTTATGTACTCAAAAACATAATAGGTTAATAGTTTCCTTTTTTATTCCGATATCAGCTGGAAAAATCTGAGATGAGCAGGAAGATGCACAACAGCACTGTTTGCCTCCTGCCTTCCTATCTGGTTCCTTGTTTTGGAAGTGCATAACTTTTTTGGTTCTCCTTGCAATAACAGTCGCTACTTGGACGGCGACGGCCACTTAGTCAGAGTTCAGTCCCCTGGCTGCAGTGCAATTACGGAGTGGTCAAGGCACAAATCACAAAACACAATGAGTTAAACATGGCGTCTAGACCACGCGCTGCGACTCACATTAGCCTAACCCTAACCCAAACCCTAATTTTGTCATTTGTGTCATTCCCTCTTTTCCACCCATAATTGCACTGCAGCCAGGGGCCTGAACTCCGACTAAGCGGCCGTCGCCTTCCACCTAGTGACCGTTATTGCAAGGAGAGCCACTTTTTTATTATTTTATCTGAGAGAGGTGGGGAGAGGGGTTGCAGTGAATCTCCAAAACTCTGTCTCTCATCTTGGTTATGTATTTTCTGAGATTACTGCCTGTCCATCTCTTGGAGATATGTTCCCATCTATGTTGTTAAGTTGTTGTCTTAGTCTTCTGTCTATCTCGCTTCTTCCATTAACTATTGTTAGTGTTGTGTCATTAAAGTGGCCGAATTAGTTAATCTATCCCTCTGTTATTTATGTCCACAATTTTGGTTTGATTTTAACAAATCCAGGCACTTCAAAACTCGTGCATCTGTTTCAGTCAATTATTTTATTAATGAGGCTGTCTCAAGTACTCTCAAGCCTCAGCAATAATTATTATTAAAGTTAAATTTTAACAGTGATATTCTTTCGTTTTCCCTAAGCACACTTTCAGAAAAGTAAAAACGTTACACTGAAATAAGAAAAAAAGGGGTGAAATATATACACAGAGAACATCATCAATAGAAAGAGGGTGACAACAAGAAGACACGTACGCCTGAAACAAACTCGGGATAGCAAAAATACTGGAATTGGTCGCAACAGCCATGTCTAAATCTAAACAGAATCTCGTTGTGCCGGAAGTGGAATGTAGCTTCTCCGGCGGTTCTCAAGCGTTCCGGACCTGGGGCTATTTTGTTTTAGACAAATCGTGTTTTGTTTTTTCACTGGAGCTTTTATTATTATTATTATTATTATTATGATTATTATTATTATTATTATTATTATTATTATTTGCAATATGCAACCGTACACAGTACCGTCATTCCTTAAGACATCATTTTCAAGCGATACTATGGAGCGAGTACCGGCACATTTTTAGGTACTTTGTAGTGAGGAGCAGGAGGAGGACAAGAAGAAGAAGATGAAAATTAGAAGAAGGGGAGGGACGGAGGAAGGAAGGAATGAGAAATCCTAAGTATACGGAATAGAAGCATGTTCTATCTGCTATTATAGTGTGTACACTGTTATAGTGTGTACACTTGCACTATTCACACCACGATCCTACCTTCCACATAAAGATGTCATAGGTTACACGCCTGATATTTCATACTGTGTACTTTGTAGTTTAAAATGTTCCTACGCATTTATTTATATCTGTAGATTACGTGACATAGATTACTGGTATTTACTTTGTAAGAGTGGTATCTTTTATGCGAAAATGTTTTTTCCCCCTTTCTTTTTTTTCTGAAATGTTACAGAAAGAATCTCAAGATACCATGGGCAAAGAAATAAAGAAATACTGAAAACCTTGAAGATCTGAACATCAAAAGAAATTGGCTACACCTCATTTACAACTTTGCAACATTCATAGATCACGATTTTAGAAAGAAATTTGGCGGCTCAGTTGTTTAGTAGAAGTTATGGACATCGTTTCACAGTACAATCTTCGACGGGCAGCGTAAGAGCTACAGACAACTGTAGACAAAGTTATTGACTGGGGTGAAGAGATGGATGCTGTCATCAACTCAGAAAAGACGACTATTTTATGGTGCACTCTAGACAATATAATTGTAAGAGTCAATGTTCCAAGCCTCACAACTAACGACAGAATAGAAGAAAAAAGTATGTCCTTAACTGATCACGTGAAGGCAGTTGCAGTTAAATGTCAAAAAAGATTCAAGATGCTCTCAAGATAATGGCAGCAATGGACATGGACCAAAGAATGCTGTTCACAATGTTTCAGCGTGTGATCCTGTCGGTGATAGATTATGGACTTTTAATGCCTACCATATGAAAGAGTCAGCTGATGGAACTTGAACGCATACAGAATGAAGCTATGCAGGTAATTGTTGGATGTACTAGAGTTGAATTGAGTTAGTTTAGTCAAGAATTGACATCATGTCACTCGGGTATTACTATGCATGATCCCTCCTCATCTTCAGCAGCCAGCGAAGAGTTCCAATACTGATGGTACCAATCACAATCTGGTTGTATGCCCGTCTTGCCTTTCCTCTGCGTGTAGTAAGCCGGCCAGACCCTATGGATACACCCAGGTCGTTGCCAGAACGTTAACCCAAATATTGGAGTCGGGTGGCCTATTCCCCGCTACACTAGGTGGTTACCGACCAGGAAGAGATACATGGTGCAATGCTGCAGTATTTGCCTACGACACATATGAGGGTTTCCAGCAGGGAATAGAAATGGCTGCAGCCGCTATTGACTTAGAAGATGCGTACATCAGCGTCCCATACAACATGCTCATCAGACTGCTGTTGGATATGCAGATAGAAACAAATTTTGTCAACTGGATCGCAGCAGCGCTATTTGAAAGAACAGTGTCGCTTCGATGTGGTGAATGGGCATCCGAACCTCAACGCGTCCTAATGGGTCTGCCCCAGGGATCACCACTGTCGCCTGTGCTCTTCAATGTGTACACAGCAGGAGTCACTAGTGCACAACGCGTAGGCCTAGGCAGAACAATGTCGTATGCAGATTATATCCTTGTTTAGCGTCGAGGTAAAAACAAGCAGGAAATTACAACCACACTACAACACGAACTAAACAGACTTAGTGAGTGGTGCCAGGAATCAAGAGCTCAGGTGAACCCGTCCAAAGCCTCCTTAACATGGTTCTCTCTGAATACCCACATCGTTAGTACACCAACGCCAGTCGTAAGCATATGTGGTGTGGACATCGAGAGAACGGACACCATGAAATACCTGGGCATGACATTTGACAGATGCTTGTCATACAAATGCCACGTACACAACCTCATACTTAGAGCCAAGGAAGGTTTGACAGCACTCAAGGTGCTATCAGCAGCTGATATTGAACGTCTACTTTTCCTTCTCTATCAAGGGCTTGTGCTTAGCGTCATTGACTATGGTCTCGGCCTCCTCACTGTCAGCAAAACCCAGCTAGAAAGACTGGACCGAGTACAGAATGAGGCCATGAGACTCATACTCGGCTGCACAAAAGACACCTCCTGCAACGCCATGCGTTGTATCCTGGGTCTGCCGACTATGACTTGCAGATACAAAGTGGCACAGGTCAAGGCTTACATGAGGGTATCGGCAGACGTTAACCACCCATTACACAAAGCTATTCACGACACAAAAGGAACGCGTCTCAAAAGAGGCCGCTCTTGGATGGCAAAGGCTGAGGATTTAATCCAGCAGGTATGTGACCTAGACGTGATCAGCCACGGAAAAGAATGGACGAATACACCAGTAGACATGCTTGGCATCTCTAAGGTTGTCATCACACTCGAAAGGTACTGCAGGGATCAAATTCCTGCGGCCGTAGACACAGAAGTAAGGGAACTGATAGATCAGCATTCAGACCCAGAAGATACCATCATCTACACAGATGGATCCGTGAAGCGCGGATCAAGGTCAGCATGGGCATACACAGCGCAAAGAAAGGGGTAAACAATACATGAGGACAGCGGCGCTTACCAGACAACCACGTCAAGCATGACAATGGAAATAACCGCTGCTTCTAGAGCTTTAGCATGGGTATCCGAGCAAACTGCCTCACAGGCAGTAATTGTCTCAGACTCAATGAATATGCTTCAGAAGATAGCAACAGGCAGTATGCGCTCTGAATGGATAGAAAGCATTCGGAATTCGCACTTAACCTCCGTAACCTGGATCTACACACCGGGTCATGCGGGCGTGAAGGGAAATGAGCTAGCAGACCAACTGGCAAGCACTGCACTATTGATTGCGGAAAAAAGTATGGACAGAGCAGATATAGTCAACGCTGTACGAACTGGGCTAGTGGAGAATGAGGAATCCCTGACACTAACACGATTGCGTGACATGGGAGTTAAGCATGGTGATGCACGTCTTTGCCGTCTTCGAGGCCGAGAAAAAAGACAATATAACCAGCTTCTCATGGGGACAATTAGTAGAAGTACTTTGGAGTGGCTGCTGCTTCGGAGAACTGAGCACGCATGGGTATGCCCAATGTGCAGTGACATTAATTAAGATAAAAAAAACATAAAATAACATCTTAGTAGGGAGTCGGCAGTAGAAAACCCAAGTTCAAGGTGTCTCCTTCGTGCCAAAGAACTGCATGGCTGTTTGGTAAACAGTCGTTAACGATGGCAAGCAGGTCGTTGTAGGGGCGACGCCTGCTGGTGGATGTAATGTCCTAAGTCCCTTCCCCAGCAATAATGAGGGTACTGCTGGGGTGACCGTTTATTAACCCTCATATAATTCTTCCGGTCAAAATGGATGCTAGGCACGGCCACCTTTTTTTTTTCTTTTTTAAAAGCCGTGGCAAATGTTTTTTTTTTTTTGGCCAGACGGTGGCCGTTGCATTTTTGCTCCATTTGTAGACTGGAAGGATGTAGTTTCGTCGCCCAGCTTCTGAGTTGAGTGCATGGCGTGACACTGTGAGCTGCGTTTGTTTTTCGTTGGCACTGGAGCGGAGCATCTGTGGGGTGACCCGTTTGCTATGAAGCTGAAACTAGGATTACCAGATTACCAGATTACACCCAGGTGTCTCACTCTCCAGGCCATAATAATCTTGTTTTTCTACTGATTATGTTGCTGGTTCACAAAAAGCCTAGACTACATCTGCCTTGTCATGTATGAATTCACCACCCAGTGGTGCAGATCCAACCAATCTGCCTGCCTGTTCATTACCCACCACACCGGTTTGCCTGGAGAAAAGATCCAAAGTATGCTCACTACTCGTGACCTTCCCAGTGAAGCTTGCCACTCTGCTTCACCTTTCTCAGCATGTTTTCAGTCTGTTTTAATCACATGTGTGTTCATCTTGTTCTCTAGCTACCGGAGAGCTGCAGTTACTGCCTCCAACTCTATTCTTATGCTAGTTCTTGTGGTGTCGTATGCTAGGCTGTCTTACACTAGAAATTTTCTATTCGCTTTCGCTACAAATCCCCAGGCACTTTTATTTCCTCTTATCACCAAACAATCTGTATAGATAATTAGATCACCTAGGTGTGAATCGTAGTGAATCAACTGTTGTAATTTCACCTTCGTAGCACCCGCGGGTCATTCTCCGCCCTCTTGGCCAAATGTGACCATAACCCTTCACAGGTAAGTCTTTTCCGATGGTACTCTGACGTACTCCTCTCATCGCCTAATGTTCTCCAGCATGCATACTTGTCTTATTGTGTCTTCTGCTTGAGCAATCCACGATTTTCCCCTTTTCAGCCTCTGACCCTTACCTGCAGCCAAAGCTTCATACAGAGGGTGTTCTTTGCAGCTACTCTAAGGTATGACAGCCTGCAGCACCTTCAGCCTATCTGCAATAGTCGACAATGCAAGAATGTATCGCATGCACACAATCGGGGTATCTCTTGTACAATCCAGCATCATCCTCATAGCTTCATTCTGTTTGCGCTCTAGTTTCTCTAGCTGACTGGATGAACTTAAGAATAATAAGGGGAAGGAAAAGAGAAAGAGGAAGAGGATGAAGAAGAGGAAGAGGAAGAAGAAAACAAGGGGGGAGAAGAAGAAGAGAATAAGGAGGAAAAAGAAAAAGAAAAGAAAAAAAGAAAGAGAAGAAGAAGAAGAAGAAGAAGAAGAAGAAGAAGAAGAAGAAGAAGACAAAGAAGAAAGTAGTAGTAGT